CAGTCCTTAACATGGTTTTTTGAGGCCTTGTTGGTGTTGGGGGTAGTCTACCCCCCTTTAGGCCTTGTTTGGCCTTGTTTTTGTGCCATCCTTTTAAGCTATTGGGACCACCTTGTTTTGGCCTTCTCACCACTGAAACTCAGAGGATTTTCAGTGGTGGAAAGGTGGTTTTGAGGTCCCAAATACCCTCTCCTTATGTTTTGTATGCTTGCTTCATTGGCCTCATGTTTGAGCATGTTTGTTAAGCTTGTGTTGGCCACATCCCAGCCTATTTTAGGCCTTATTTCAGCATGATATACCTCTGTTAAGGTTTGGTTTGATAGCCCCATGCATGCTCCATGCACTTGTAGTACAATCCCACAAACTAGCCTAATGTGTATCATGCTTTTGATCATCATTCTAACATGCTTTTGGCTTAACTCTAAGAAGCTTTTGTCCATGTTTTAGCATGCTTAAGCTCTGATTTGTGTTTTTTTGGTCATGCATGCATTGTTTTGTATAGCCTTGGTTCAATCTTGCTCACTAGCTTTGTGTATTGAGTCCATTAGCATGCATTACTTGGACTATTTTCATGATTTGGCATCATTTGAAATGTGATTTCAGTACATGTAGTGTGATCATACACTTGCATTTGTCACTCTTTCAATGCTTTGGAGAGTTGGTGTTTTATGCCTTAAACATGAGTCATTGTGTATGCCTTCATGCCTAAGCTTGCGAGCTATCATTTCAGTGTGTTTTTGGGGTTATTTTGCCATAATATAACTCTAATTTTTGTTGGCGAAGCCATCTCATGCTTGGTCTTAGTAGGTGTAGTGTAATCCTCCCTTTTGGCCTTGCATATTTCATGCTTCATGCTCACCATGCTAGCTTATTTTGGCTTCCTTGCATACATGTTTTAGCATCATTTTAACATGCTCTAGGACTGTTTTAGGTTGTATTTGCCATATGCCTCATGTATTGCATAGCTGTAGCGCAAGTACATATGCCAGTTTCAAGCTTTGGGCACCATAGCATGCTTCATTTGTAACATGTGCATGATTTGGCATCATTTAACATGACATTTCAGAGCACATAGGACTGCCATGTTCCCATTTCTTTCACCCTTTGAGTGCCTCTAAGGGTTGTGCATTGTTGCCTTACTTATGGCCTAGTGTGTATGCATGCATGCTTAGAGCATTTGAGCCCCCATCTCAGCATGCTTTGGTCTTTATTTTGACCCATTTGAGCTCTGTCCATGGTTGGTTCATGCATTTGTGCCATGTATTGCATGCCCCTTTGTAGTCCTCTTTGCTAGCTTCAATGCTTTAAGGACTCTAGCATGCCATGCTTGTGTTGTTTGAGTGATTTGGCATCATTTCATACCTTATTTCAGTGCATATAGTGTTGTTGCACTTCCACTTTTGTCATTCCTTGAGCACTCTTGGGAGTTGTGATCTTAGGCCTAGTTGATAGGCCAATGCATGTGCATGCTTGTATATGCTTTTGTGCCTTCATTTCTTAGCATTATGGCCACTGATTTGGGCATGACTAAGGTCTATCCATATTCGGTTTAAGTCCATTTAGCATGTTTATTTGCATGTTGTTTGCATGCTTGTGTTATATTGCATTGTGTATGCCATGTTGTTGATTGCATTGTGTATGCCATGTTACATTGCATTGTGTTATGCATGTTGTTGCTTGCATTGTGTTTGGATTGGATGTTAGTCCAAACACGAGAAACGATGGACATTTCATACTTGAAGTGATGAAACGTGCCTCAATTCTCGATCGCCGACCCTCTTGATCATACATGATAGATGTCAAGGCTTTATGTGTTTATTTGTGCATTCATTTCACATTGATTTGTGCAAACTTGACTTCTCGGCCATCATGCATCGAGATGCGTGATTGGTGGCCTGAGGGTCGAGAACTACACTCCCTTGAGCTCATGAAATGATAGGGAGGGTGGTTGTGCATACATACCTTGCAAATACATTGCCATGCCCCTTCTTGTTCTCTGTTGCAGTAAACTGGAAGTGTGGCAGCAAAACTGGTCAGCCGACCAGAAAAACTAGCTGGCCGACCACTTTTTCTGGTCTGCAGCAATGATAGGTGGTCGGCAATGCTCCTACAGGTTCCCAAGGTGAGTTAGAAGCTATCTGGAGCTTGGTGCATGGTTCTGAGAACAATTGCAAACAGAGGCAAGTTGGGGCATCGCGACGGATTTCCGAATGAGGCGACCGAGCATGCATGCACTCCTCTTCCCAAGGACCTTTCTTTACTGCTTCCCTTAGCTAGTTTATGCTTTGGTTCTGTATTTAAGTAGTTAATGCGTTTAGCTGCTTATTTGTGTTATAATAACCTAGTTAGTTAACTTGTCAGTTAATTAGCTTTATTATGTAATAATTAGTTTAATTAGCTTAGATTAGCTAGTTAGCTTATTATTCGGACCCGCCTACGAGAGGGCGTATTGTTGTAATAAGCGTGCGTGTGCGCGATGCATGTCTTCCAACCCCCATTTCTTTCTCCCTTTTACTTACCTGCTTTCGATGGTTAATTTTAGGGAATTTTTGAATTAGCATCCTTATGCTTCGCATGTGTGCATCCATTCATCTGTATTGCATGCACCGGGCTCGGCGCATCATACTAACTGCATTGTATTTCAATACATTTACTTGAATACGTGTTCAACAGCATGTTATCAAGTTGCATTTCACATGACATCTTAGAATAGCCGAGCCTATCTTAGTTGCATTTTCGTATGCGTTGCATTAGCCATCTTAACATCAACTAGGGTCATGCATGATTTCTAACTAGTTCTCTGTTTTGGCTCGGAGTACACTTTGAGTGTTTACGCTTTAGCATACTGCATGAGATGTGTATGTTGCCATGTTAGCATGCTTGCCATGAGGTTAACTGCTTAAGTGATTAACTGCATGAATGCTTGTGGATGAATGTTGGATTGCTTGAATTGGAACAATACATCAAATGCGAGTTTTAAGCCCACTCGAGGGTGACAAAACCACGACTTAGCCTACTTGCGAGTAGCAAACTTCAAAATTATTTTCACAAACGAACATGCAATGTTTTGTTCCAACTTAGGTAATCTAGTCTATACTTGTGTGCTGCGCGCATCACATAGTAATTCTAGGTTAATAACCGGAATAAGAACACATATGTTTTCAAAAACAAAATATCATGTTAGTAAAGACCGATCTTTGATCGGGCGAGCGGGGGTGTTCATTGCATGACCTTCCCCTCTTGTACCCAAGTTCCCGAGCCGAGGCAACTTTGGTGATGACGGACACGTGGCCTTAGGCACGAGTCAGGGTTTCCTAAATTCTCCCAAAATAAAATATTTAGGTGGTGACTCTGTATCTGGCAAGGCAGTCCATGTTTGGCACTTCTTTATAAAAATCAGTTTTCCAAAACGATTTACCGGATTTAGACTCTTTGGTGATTTATCGGTCTCACATTGCACTTTGTGAGATTAGATTCAAAATCGTGACACGAATCCGAACTGTAGTAGCTAAGAACAAACGATCCGCGCCCTCGCGTGCGGAGCCGGGAGTTCTCCGGGCGGTCTACACTTACCTAATGAGTCTAAGCAACTGAAAGATCCAAAGCATTTAGTTATAATCCAAAATTTAGTTAGAGTCTAACTAACTCACCACAACACCCTCCCAGAAGACATGCTTAGAGCTTCAGCATGAAGTAAATGATGCATAAGCTTGTCCGGCCCCATTACATTATTGCAACTAAAACCTTCTCCAAGTTAAGGGCAATTATAATTTTCTAGATATCAATCACCTTTGGGCATCACCTCTCACCGACAACCACCACCTCCATCCACTGCTAATCACTTCCGGCTACAATCTGAGACTATCAACTGCCTCCTCCCGCCAATCACCCCATTTACTTATTTTTAAAACAAAATTTTTAAAGCATGTGTACTAAACATGTTTTTGTTTTTGTATTTATAAAAAATAAACAAAAAAACTGTAAACTTTATCAAACTACACCTAAATAAACACTCCTTTCGAGAAATGAGCAAATGGAACTGAATCTGCTAACTAGCAATGAAATGCTTGATCAGCTTCTAGATGTTCAAATGTGCACCATAAATATGTTCCCCCCCCCCATACATACCTTGCTTTTACAATTTTGGCAACAAATTGTTCTTTCATCACTTTATCATGTTCTATCTTAGTAGATCATATTTGATTCATGTCTCAGCTTGGGACACTGGGATTTAAAAACTCAATCAAATTGCACTAGATACCCTAACGCTGTGTTTGGTTGGAGGATTTGAGGAGGGATTTGGAAAGAGAAAGGGAAAAGTTAGGTGAAATGTAAATAAAATATATCTACATTTCACCTAGTTTCACACCTTTTCCATTTCCCTTTCCAAATCCCTCCCCAAATCCCCCAACCAAACACAGCATAAAAGAACTTCTCTTTCTTGCAACACAACAGTGTTCAAAATGAAGAATGGGGAATTTGTAGTTGTTTATCAAATCATTTTTTTAAAGTCTTGATTAGATTATTACTAATGATCTTTATTCTCTTTAAGAAAAAAGATTTGAAAAGAAAATTTTTCTTGCATACAAATTCTATCTAAATTTTCATATCATTAGTTTTACCTAAAGTCATTTCCAAAAGTCCTTTCCAACATTCAAAAAATTAGTTGGTGTTCAAAAATTTGATGGCGTCACATAGAACTTTTAAGTTTTGATTGCAAGAGATGTGGATTTTGTTTATTTTTACAATTTTTGTCAGTTGCTTTATGATTCCAGAGAGAAGTTGATAGAATGTACTGCCATGATACTAGTATAAAGCCAAGTCAAATCTCAAAGGTTGAGTGACATGCAGAGACAGGAAATTTATGATAAATAGCATTTTAAACAATTCAAAAAAAAAAAAAAAACAAACAAACAAACAAACAAACAAACAAAAACTAGTTGCTAAAGCAAGAACATGCTCTCTTAATTAGATTGAGCTTTAGTAGTCGCAAGACCGACCTAGATTTACAATTCCATGCTCCTTCATCATGTTTCTATGAAGTGGGGAAAACGCGAAGGGGACATGGCAGCATCTTCATCCCAGTCCAAGTTATCCCACCATTCCTTGTCCCCATACACTGTCCAGAGTGTTGGGATGTTAGAAGCTTTCAGTGGTAGCTTCTTCAGCTTTGGACAATCAATAACAGCGACTCTCACCAAGGAAGGAAGATCCATTGCCCGTTGAGAGATACTTCTCAATAAAGGGAGGTCTCGGATAGATGTAATTCGAAGGTATGGAAATGCCACTGAGCCTTCCTCTACCACTTCATCCTCAGTACCGATGACTTCTTCCATTTCATGGCAGTAAAACAAGTAAATCATTTCGAGCTTTGGCAACTCTGAGATCCAGGAAATGTTCTTCAAATTGTGGCAATACCAAATGCTGATGGAACGAAGATTTTGAAGGCATCCTTGACTCACTGGATTCCTCCACACTTTGGTCATGTTGGGAAGGCCATACAATGAAAGAACCTCCAAGCTAGGCAGCCAGTTCTTTCCAGCCCCTTGGCCAATCACCAAGTACTTCAAGTCACCACAATTATTAATGCTAAGCCTCCTTAATGACTTGCCATCACCTGGAGCTGATGATAATTGCAAATAAAACAACCCTTCACACTCCTTGATATATAAATAATGTATACATTTCAATAAATGGTTGAATCCATAGAGCTGCTTCAAGGTTGTTAATTTTGTCACTGTGATCCCTATAGTAGTAAGATGTCTCAAACATTCCAAGTCTGAAAAGCTGACATTATCAGTCTCAAATCCCTGCAGTTCCCAACCTCCATAAGTGCTATAATAGAAATTCAGGACTCTCAACTGAGCGAGTCCAGATATAGCCTCACGCGGAACAGTTCTAAGGTAGTGTGTTCGTTGTAGATCCAAATGCCTTAACTTTGTCAGGCATCCTAGCTCTTTAGGCAATGTACTTAATTTAGTCCCTGACAAGTCAAGATGATTCAACTCAACTAATTTATTTATACTTACTGGGATCTCTCTAAGACTAGTGAAAGACAAATCCAAAACTCCAAGAGCAGGCATAAATTGGAAAAACCCATTTGAAATTTTGTTCAAACCATTGTTCCATTGGAGCAGCAAGGTTGATAAACGAGGACAAAAGGGTGTTTCTGACAGTTCAATAATTCCATTATCTAATAATGAAATTCTAACTGCTTCTTCCCAGTTTTCAACACCAGGTACTTCCGTCAGTCCTGCACTTGCCTGTACTATAAATGTCTTCTCATTCTTCCCACAATCAGATGCTATCCATAAGGCAAAGCTTCGGACAACATCATGCATCTTTACTTGGGTTTCCTCTTCGCCAGTTTCCAATAAGCAAGCAACTTTAAGGGATCCTATGAGATCATGTCCCATATTACAGACATTACCATCATTGGAGCTATTAATAAAACCTTCCCCAATCCAATATTCTATGAGTTGCTCTTTCTCAATTGAGTAGTCTTCGGGGAATAAGGAACAATACAACAAGCATGATCTCAATGTATCATTATCCAAATTATCATAACTGAATTTCAATAATGTAAAAACATCTTCCATACCTCGTAATTTCGATGGAGACTTGTTTAATACTTCTATTGCATACTTCCACTCCTCCTCAGTCTCTTTATTGGACATAGCCCTTCCAATAGTGATTAGTGCAAGCGGTAAACCTCCACATTTTCTTATGATGGTTTGTGCATAAGATTGTATGGATGATGATTTCAAGATCTCACTTCTACCCACCTTGTCACGAAAGATTTCCCACGATTCGTTCTCTTTTAAGAATTCAACCTTGAGCTTGCAGTGAGCATCCATGTCACTGCACACATCCATTGAACGCGTTGTGAACACCACCTTGCATTTGTTTTCCTTGTTGGGAAGAGGAATTCCTATCTTCTCAAGGTCAAGTCCTTCCCATACATCATCTAACAATAACAAGAACTTCTTCTTTTTCATGACCTTGTATGTTTTTGAAGCTCTCTGTTCCAGGGACTCAGTTTCATCCCAAGACAAGCCCAGTCTTACCCCTATAGCTTGTTGAATCTTCTCTGCAACAGCATCTTTAGACACCACAACCCAAATCACTATATCAAAATCATGGGTGGTTAGTGTTAAAAAATCATTATTTATGTGTTTTAAAAGGGTTGTCTTCCCAACCCCACCAATACCATAAATTCCAATGACCCCAACATCCTCTTCTCTAAAAAATTGTCTCACCTTCTCTAACATCGATTCAAGGCCGATAGTTGGCCTGCTAGGCATCTCCTCAACAGCTGCGGGAAGTGATCCATCGGCTATAGTGACATCCAAAATTCCCTTTTGCATGAGTTCATTTATGTCCTCAACCATCTTCAAAGATTTCTTGCTCAACTTGTATCTAGAATAACAACTTGCATTGTTGCAACACCAGAAAGATTGCATTTGCTGACCAACATCTAGTTGTGTGATTAAGCTTACCTCAGTTTGTAGAGCGTTGACTCTTTCTATCCATCTTTTGACTTGGTTTGTGCATGTCAATCCCTGCAACTCTGCTACATCAATTTGTCTTTTCAAATCATCCCTCACATCCTTCAGTTCTTGCACTGCAGTTGTGAGAGACCGGACCCTTTGATCCAAGTTCAAAACATAGCCAATCCTTGTGGCAATCCAATCGCTTAACCTAACAGTTGCACTGATTAGAGGACTCACAAAATCCATGATCATTGCTTTTGGTGATAAATTTATAAAATCAATTTGCACCGAAGATATTAAAGAAAGTCAATGGATGCAATGCAACTAACTTCATATATATCATTAACACGGTCAATAATTTTTCATACCTAACATGAATTAGCCGCCTTTATAGAAATTTCAAACTTGACCTTTATTTATTAAGAAGTCTATGTTGAAAGCTACTTCATACTTGACTTTTATTTATTTATTTATAATCTTTATTAAATTTTAAATAATAATTAATTTTATGCATGAAAATGTAAAGTATTAATGTGTCTTGTTAATGTATGCATGATAAGCATATTTGAAAAAGGATGAGGATTTCTCCCAGTCCAGATTAGAGGGTGTTGTTTGGGCCTGTAGAGTCCATCACGATTCTATTTTAATGACTTGAACCATTCATTTTATCAAATATTTTATATATTTTATTTACAAAAAATTAAGTTGATCTGATAATTATAATATATTCAATTTATCAATTTTGTCATAAAAAAAAACTGACAAATGTGCTTTTAAAAATAAATCATTCATTTTTTTGGTGACAAATGCAATAAATAGAATAGACTAAGATTATAGAATCAACCTATTTTTTTGTAGATGAAATACACAAAGTACTTGACAAAATAAATGGTTCGAATATCGAAACGAAACCCGTGATAGGCTCCACTGACTAAAACAGCACTCTCTAGTCTATAGGCTTGAAGGAGTCTATCTTCCTTCTTTTAAAAAATTGAATATTCTTCAATGCATTTGCTTTCATATAGAATGTATAATCATTTTAAATTTCTTAACATATGCGTTAAGGTATACATTAACAAAATCTATTAAACCTTAAAAAAGTGCTAGAGACCCACAAATTTACCCATAATGACGTAATAAGAAAGTTGAGCCATATGTCATTGAATGTAAAACAAATTAAAAATTGACCCCTATCATCTCACATCATTGTGGGTCAAATTGTGACAATTTTTTAGGGGTCTCAAACATTTTTCTAAACCACAAGGAGTTGGTTTGATGGTTAAGGCTTGTGGCACGAGGATGTGCTCCCTCTAAGGTCTTAAGTTTGAAACCTCCTAGGTGCAAATAATTTTTTAAGGTCCATACGAGGTTTTGTTCTGGCTTTTATTAGACCCCTCGCTAGTGGATGGTGGGAGGATGGGATTGGTCATCTTCCAGTAAATCAGATGCCGAAAAAAAATATTATTAATTATAAAATAGTTTTTCACAAATTCAAAAGTCGATGAAATATTCAAATAATAAATATGTCCAACTAACAAGTAGGAATAACAATTTTTCCCACCCAGCTCCGCCCTACACGGGTTTTCTCCCTCCCAATGAGGAAGTAAAGCAAAGACGAGTTTTGCTCTCCTTGCCTACTTTCATCATATATCCCGTCCTAATTATATTTATCAAATATATTTATATGTATATAGCATATAAAATTTAATTTTTCAATATAATAAGGCTAAAATACTAAAATATAGTATAAAACATATATTTTCACTCATATACTTCTCATCTTACATCTTTTAACACTTATTAATTATAAATCAATATCTAAAATGTAATATATTATTTTTTATTTTTATTATTATTCTCATGTTTAAAGTTACAAAATTAACTAGCTTCAGCCCCACTTTCTCATCAGTACGGAAACTACAAACCCGTTCCAAACTTGCCTCATTGTCATCCCCAGATACGGAGATACATAGAGTTTAGGGAGACATGTGCACCCTCTCATTTTTTGAAAATTGCACTTTTATCTCTAGATAGATTATTTTTTTTTTTTTCATTTAACTCTCTTTTAATTTTTAAATATATTTCTAAATCTTTATATTTCATCTTTCTTTTCTCTTTCTTTTTAATAAATTCCTTACAATTTGCCACTATAAATGTTTAATTTTATCAAAATATTTTATTATTTATATCTCTCTCATTTCTCTCTTGTTTTTGTCCACATCTATCTTTCTTCTTTTTTCTTTTTTCTTTTTTTGTGGTGTGATTCTCATCATATTTAGTAACTAAAATATCAAATAAAAAAAATATTGGTTAATTAAAACATAACTAAGGCATATAATTTTGACATCACATTGATATTTAGTCATTCTATTCTACCACCAAATGAAATTTTGAAAAATGAATTCAGTTAAGTTTTGCAATTGATATCGCTAAGAATTTAACTTAATGGTGCCCCATGAATAAAATCCTGACTCTACCATTGGTCATCCTAATAACAAGTACTTTGCGTAATTAATGATATTTCGTTACTTTCGCTAAAAAAAATGATATTTCATTATATTTAGAGTAATGATTTACAAATAAAAAATTATGCATAAAATCTATACAGAATGATATGTTCAATTGATATGCATTTCAAATCAAAAGGCCCATAAAAGTGATTTGTTATTGTAAAACAGTCATCCATTCTGGTGTTTTTTTTAATACAAATATAATATTCATTATTAATTTTTGTAAAGACAAATATGATTCAATAATGTAATTATTCATATCTAATTAATTTAATTTTTTACATTAATAATTTATTGAACAAATCCAACATAATAAATTATTTATATTATAAAAATGTGTTCATATTGATTATTGAACCCCAATGAAGGGGATAACACCCCTTATTGTGCCTCAAAGCACAACGCGACCCAACTCTAAGCCCTCATTTGATAATTGGGCTTTTTTGGTTTTGACTAAATTAGTCAAAAAAAAAAGATAAAGTAGGTGTTTGACATGTACTAAACAAATATAATTTTTTTGTATATATATCTTTATTTAGGTCACATTTATCAACATCTCATCTCTACTTTTATACCCACTTTCTTTACTTTTCTATACATTTTTTTTTTTATAAAAAATTAAAAAATACACTTATTTAAAGCATTCCAAACCACATCAAAATAAGTTAAAAAGTCAATAAGATAAAATGTTATATTTAAACCATATCATTTTACTTTTTCTCTCTTAGAAGTTAAAAAAAAAAAAAAAAATTAATCCAAACAAACTTTTTAACTTTTAGACTAAAATAACCAAAACAAATATTAAAAGTCAAAAGTCAACCCAAACTTTCCAAACAAAGCGTAAAAAATTGACATAGAAATATGTTATCATGTCACTATCATTCAATATAGCTTGAAACTTGTCTATTTCTATCTTTTGGCGCACCACTACATTTTTAAATCCATTCCTATTTGGCAAGTTCTTTAAATAATTTGTGTATTTAGTGAATCAGTATCAACTTCTTTAAATTTGTCTATTTAGTGAATCAGTATCAACTTCTTTAAAATAATAAAAAGTTAAAACATACTTAATAAATCATCAAATTCTTCATCCATCAGTCTCAATAAATTTTTTCTAAATTAACTTTTTATTAAATTTGCTATAGTAACTCCTTTGATGAAGCGAGCAACTATTCATCGCTACAACACGAGGTTTGGGTGTAATCAGAAGTCCGGCCGAACGTCTGGCCGATCAACAGGTCAATGGCAAATTTTTTTAGAAATTATCTGGCTGCTCCTCATCAATTTAATAAAAATAAATAAAAATAAAAATAAAGAATAGAAAATAAATAACAAAATAATATTTTGATAGGATTGAGTTAGAATAGAGAGTTTGATGCAGTGGGTGACTAGCTAAAATAGCAAAATAGGTTTTTTAGCTCTAATTTGACTAAAATTTTGAAGAGGTTGGTGCAGATGCTCTTAAATAAGTAAAATAAAAATAGCGTTAGAACATATAGATAAAAAAATAATTAGCTAAAGTAAAAAGGAGAAATTACAAAAATAAATAAATAAATAATAATCAAGGTTTGGCTTTTATAATAAAATAAATTTCAAATTTTTAATTTTATCAATTTAAGTCCTAAACTTTTGATTTGTTTTTAGGAAAATGTTTGAGGGCCACAATTTTTGTGGCCACAATGGCTCAAAACTGTCAAAACGATGTCGTTTTGGGTGCAAAACATGCCAAAACGACATCGTTTTAGCAATTTTGAGCCATTGTGACCATAAAAATTGTGGCCCTCTAGCATTGTTGTTGTTTTTAATGTAAACTATCTACATATTTTTGTTAACTAAAATTGACTAAAATAGTGGTACTTTAGTGATTAAACGCAACAAAAAAGAGTATTTTAAATATTTTATATATATACTTACAAGTTTAATGATTAAAATATATTTTTTTTTGTTGGTTTTATTTAACAAAAATAAGCTAATGATTTATACTGAAAATAAATTAAAAGTGTATGATTTAAGTTCCTAAAGGAGGGATTTGGTCAAAACCCCCTCATAAAAATTTTTTAATGCATTAAGGACAAATACGAAAAAAATTCTTGAAAAGTCCAGCACACATTACAATTACCAAAATATCTTTAGTGACTAATTTAATATTAGGCGAATTAAACTAACAGTCCCTATAGTTTGGGACTTGTGTCACTTTGGTTCCTAACCTTTCAATTGTGATACATTTGATCCTAAATTTTGAATTTTGTTCTAAATAAAGACAATTGAAGACATTGTTACTCCATTTAAAGGGCAAAGTCGTCATACGAGTTATTTTGTATTGGTTAACTTATATGTTTGAAATATAATAGCCTTTTTTTAATGAATAATGTTTAAATTTTTTTTGTTATAAAGTTTTGTTTGGTTTGATTTTCAAAATATATTTTCAGAAAATTAAATGGGTGAAAAAAATTGAAAACACATCATTTTTATACAATTTTATCTTTTGGGAGAGTATAAATAATTTTTTTAATATTTATTTTTGTTAAATTAATTTTTATTTTTTCGAAAGTTAAACATGGCGATAACTTTGATATTATTCTTAAACCAATCCATTAAATCAAAAAATTTAAAACTAAAAATATTTTATATATTAAACATATCGATTATACATTGAAAGCCTAATAACCATCCATTATATGATAATTATAGCGATCCCGGTATTCCCTGCTATTGATTACCCGTAATCCGGACTCGGTTCCGTGGACTTGCTGTTGTTTTATTCTCATTTCTACCCCTTACTCTTTGTGTTAGAGTTTTGGGTTGTGTTGGGCAAGTTGG